TCAAACCTTGTCCCTTCTGGTTACCAGCCAAGCACATTAATAATTTGTACCACCTAAGGACTCACTTTTTGGTACTAACAACTTTAAAATTGCAGTGGCTTACAACAATGTATCACTACGGAAGTAGGATTGCCCAACCTTCCTTGGAAGGTTGGGCAATCCTACTTCCGTAGTGATACTGCCTCGGAAACCCAAGGAGGGGTCACTATGAGTCGGGGCTGACTCGACAGCAAACAACAACAACAACAACAAAAATAAAAACAACAGAACAATAGTATGTGTAAAAAAGAAGATTTTTGAAGTTATGCCATTCATGTAACCCTCCTGTTCACTGAAGCTTCAACTCCAATTTTGAAAGATTAATTATTTCATAAATAAATACACTTACATTGATAATTTTTATATTTATATTAAAAACATTCTATGGAGTGTCAGATTACCCAATCAGTAAGTAAGAACAGGCTTACTTGTTCTTACTAATTGGTGGTAAACAATTTTTACATCTTTTCACTACATCAGAATTCTGCTTCTAGATATGGCTTGAATCAGTCTCTCTCCCAACCCATATAACTTTCTAACAGAATCAAAACCTGTTTTTAAATCTCCAGTCCCTGAGAGGGAAATATCATTCACTAAACAAGGAAGCATGGTTTTGTCTTTTATCTAGCACTTTTGAAAGGCAGGCCCCGACTCTGGAACCAAGTTGGTAAATATCTGACTCTTTGAAACTTAGGTGGCTTTGGCCCCATCTTTTGAGATGCAGGAGATTGTGGCTCCACTCTTTGAAAGTAGGGACTCTGGTGGCATAGTGCCTAAGGCACTTGAATACTAATCAGAAGGCTGGCACTTCAAACCCACCAGCCACTCCTCAGAAGGAAGATTGGGCAATCTGCTTCCGTAGTGACACCACCTCAGAAACCCAAGGAGGGGTCGCTATGACTGGGATCCAACTTGACAGCAGTGAGTTTTCTCTGCACGTGAGAAGGTCCTGCTTCCATGCTGCTGATCTCCAAGATGCTCAATGGATGGTCATTTTCTTTTTTTGGAGGACAAAAGATGGAGCTCCTTTGGCCTGTTTCCTAACTGTAGAATTCCAAGAGGTAGACAGTTTCCCTTCATCCTGTCTCTGACCTCTTCAGTCTAGCTGATAGGTTTTCTGCTGTAGTAGTTTCTTAGATCCTTCAGTCATTGACTTAATCTTTATTTATTTATTTATTTAAAAAAATATCTAGCTACGTCCTTAGTGAACATTCTAGGACATGTGTCCTTAGTATGTACAACAGAACTTTTCAAATCTTTAAGTTCTGTTTACATTTTGCACAGTTTATTTTTAAATCCATCTCTTTCCTCCTCAGATTTTATTATAAGTGGCAAGAAGAAATCATGAAGCCCCTTTAAGATCTTGCTTAGAAATCTCCTCACCTACATATCCAATTTCATCCCTTGAAACTTCTACTTTTCATCAAATATTTGAATATAATTCAGACAAGCTTTTTTTTTTTCTTGCCATTGCATAAAAACATCACCCTTACTCCACTGTGCAATCACATGCTCATTTTCTTGTAAAGCCTTACCAGAAGCACAGTTATGTCCACATTTCTGCTAAGTTTATTGTCGGTACCATCTGTTTTCTCTAAAATGATAGAGACCTTTTTCTATAGCTCTCCTTACCGCCTTCTGAGCCCTCACCAGAATTGCCTTTGCCATCCATAATTTTACCAAGTCTCTTCAAGGCAATCTAAGTTTTTACTATCAGTCACCTTAAAACTCTTCCAGCCTCTCCCCATTACCCAATTCTCAAACCACTTCTACATTGCAAGTTTTTGTTAGAGCCACATCCTACTTCTTGGTACCAAGTTCTGTCTTAGTTGTCTAGAGCTGCTATAACAGAAACACTACAAGTGGGTGACTTTCACAAAATGAAATTTATTTTCTTACAGTTCAGAGGATGAGAATAACAAATTCAGGGTGACAGCTCTAAGGAAAAGCTATCTCGTCTGCCAACTCCAGAGAAAGGTCCTTGTCTCTTCTGAGCTTCAGCTCTTAGGCAATGTTTATGTGGCTTGGCATCTATCTTCTCTCATCTCTGTAACTAGCTAGTGTTTAATCTCTTTTATGTCTCCAAAGGGATTGACTCAAGATACACTCTATACTAATCTTGTTCTCGTTAACATAACAAAGACAATTCATTCCCAAATGGGATTATAACTACAGGAATAGAGGTTAGGATGTACAACACACATTTTGAGAAGACGAAATTTGATCTTCAACTTTCATATTAATCTGCAGTGAACACTTTCACATATTTTTTACCACATATAGTGAAACTGACATGAAATTAATTCATTACAGATTAGAAACTAGGCACAAGTAAGCCCATGCTTACCTTTCTTATAGAGATCTCGTGGCACTGTGGTTAAAGCAAAAGGTTAGTGGCTTGAACGCACCAGCCACTCCATGGGAGAAAGATGAAGTAGTCTGCTTCAGTAAAGATGTACAGCCTTGGAAACCCTATGGGGCAGTTCTACTCTGTCCTATAGGATTGCCATGAGTAGGAATTGGCTTGGTAACTGTGGTATCCTTTTTGTTGTTTTTGTTTTTCACCTTGCTTATTGGGTAATCTGTCCCTGATTCTATACCAGGAATCATCAAGCCTTAATTAGTATTAAAGAATACCTATACAACTTGTTAAGATAAAGATTTTGATTCTTGTGGACTGGGCTTGACATTTTTACACTTCCCACAAACTGCAGGTGCTGATGCTGCTGGTCCATGGACCACACTTTGAATAGCAACCACTGTTACCAATTGTCACCAGTGACCCCATGTGTGTCATGGAACTGTGCTTCATAGGGTTTCAATGACTAATTTTTCAAAGAAGATCACCAGGCTTCTCTTCCTGGGCATCTCTGGGTAGATTTAAGCCCCCAACATTCTGGTTGGCAGCCGAGTTCCTTAGCAGCTAAGTATGTAAACCAATCGTTTACAGCACCCAGGGATTCCTAAATAGCAACAGTCTATGCCATTTTGACAATCTTTAAAGAGCTGAGAAAACAGTTTCTTTAGAGTTGCTAGCTTTGCTGGGTTTCAAGGAAAGCTTCAAGTCTCTCTATTTTCTTTCTAACTAGTACATAGAACACAGTAAGTCTTTGGAAACTTCACTGTTTACCTTTACTGAACAGATATCTGAAACAAGTGGAGACAATAATGAGTGTGTGTGTTTGTGAGAGTGTGTGTGTGTGTGTGTGTGTTTGCACCATATTTGCATTTAGGAAAGTGCCAGCAACTGTCTGGTCATTATCCTCAATTTGAAATTATGTTCTTAAAAGCATACAAAGTTTAGAGAATTGTCAGGTTCAAGTATACTCTATCTCTGAGGTTAGCCCATTGTCATAGAGTCAATTCTGACTCATACAGCCCTGTAAGGCATAGTACAAGATACAACTTCCCCATAGGGTTTCCAAGGCATTGGTTTTATGGGAGTGGATTGCTACATATGTCTCATGTGAAGTGGCTGTTAGGTTTGAACCTCCTACCTTTTGGGTATAGCCCAGCATTTAACCACTGCAACACCAGGGCTCATATCTCTGAAGTTAAGCCCTGGCTTATTTCACACATTTCAGCATTTTGTGTGTGGATGTCATTAAGATTGCCTGGAGTTTGGAGATAAGCATTAGGATTAGTCTTGCTTTAAAGTCATCATGAAGCCTTGTTATAGGCCTCAAGTGCAGTTGTTTAAATGTATTTCTGAAGCTTACTGGGGGAAAAAAATGTCACATCCACTAAATTTAGAAGCTTCAAATAACAAAAACATTGTGGTTGTCATTGAAAACTTACCTGCAGGCTTGCAATTTCATGTTTTTCTTATAAGGTAGGCTTATGTTTTAAGGCTAAAACAACATTCTGTTTATCAAACTTGCTTTAGGAAGAATATCCAAACTAAAAACTGCTGAAAAGGGGACACTTTTTTGCAGCAAAATTTTAAGCAGTTTGGATAACAGAGTAAATCTTATTCAAGTAGATTTTTATAAATCATTTTGTAGTGATTTATAATTATTTTATAATTATGAAATATTTTACAATTTTCTTTCTCTATTGCTATGAAACCCACCATTACAGAATTTTCCAATCACTATAATGCTTATGAGTGCTATAAATATGAATCCTAAATAATATTATACTTGTACTATCAGCATAGCTAAAACACTGGCTTACTTTTTTAGCTTTTTGCCACATCTAGCTAGTCTATTGACTTGGAGAACATAAAATAATAAGGCAGTAATACTTGATTCAGTCTTGTCAGAATTTTATTAATTTGGCCAAAGATCTTTTAAGAATATCCATAGAAGTTATAGTGCAAATTACCAAAGTATAAAGATGCGCACTGAACAGAATTGGAATTAGAATACATTTCTGAGCATAAATGTAAATCGTAACACTTAAGAAATAATGTCATAAAGGAAGGCAAAATACATTTCATAAGAGAGGTCAACATCAGGAAGCCCTATATCTTCCTGCACTGTAATATTCATCTAGTTTTCTTAACAAGATTTTTAAAGACTTTACAAAAAGGATTCTACACTCTCCAGGCTTATGATTTCTGGGATTTTCTTAAAAAGATACAGATTAATTATAGCTTTTAATAGCACAGCTATAGGTACAGGAGAATTAAAAGGAACAGAAAATTCTTTTGTGTCTCAGAGACATTGGGGATACTGGTACAGCTGTAAACAAGAGGTGCCTTGGGATGTTTCCCTTCTCTTGCAAGAATGGAAATAGTCCTGAAAAGTATTCTGATAAACATTCATGTAAGGCCACTATATAATTTGGGTAAGTAAAATGATCTATTTGTTTTCCTTTTAATCAAACAAACCCTTAGAATTGTATTTGTTTCCAATTTCTGGACTAAATTAACTTATTGGTCTCACTGAAGAATTTTTTTTTATGTTAAATCAGTATTATATTTCTAACATTCTGTGAATTACCATGATAAGCCTCTACATGCTCTCTAATCCACTTCCATTATTTCTGGAGACAGATAGATAGATAGATAGATAGATACTTATGGATTAAAATCCCAAATCAAACACGCTGCCATTGGGATGATTCTGACTCATAGCAACCCTATACCACTATAGGACGGGGTAGAACTGTCCTGCCCCATAGGATTTTCAAGGCTATAAAACATTACAGAAGCAAACTCCTCATCTTCCCACTGCAGAGCACCTGCTTTCAGATTACCAAACTTTTGGTTAGCAGCAAAATGCTTTAACCAGTATGCCACCAGAGCTCCTTTCTTATGGATTAAACTTGATTAAATTATGTACATCTCCTAAAAAAACATACAGAGATTATTTATGCCGCAGTAGTAGGGTAGTATTTGGTGAGTATAAGTCAATAATTGAGAACGATGGATTTCCAGGGTGGTGCAGCCCACGATCTATTCAACCATCCTGGGGGCTCTCTGTCAAATCACTCTGTAAGGAGCCACCTGTTTTGAGATATAAAGATGCTAATTTGCCCAATGTCATCTAGTTAATAGTGGTGTTGGGATTCTAGCCTGTGTTCATTATGTTAATTCACCATATTGTACAGAATTCAGAAAGCAGAGTGATGCTCCTTATGTCTCCCTAAACCCTAATATGTACCAACTAATATTTATCAGGTGGGATTTTGTAATCAAAACCTAGAGTTAGGAAGAAAAGTTTTTCGTAGTCCAGCTAGCTTTATAATTATCTTGCATTATGAAAGATTGTAGAAATACTATTACCATAAATTTCTTTCAAGTTTATTTTGCAAGTAAAAATTAATCAAAAGTAATATTCAGAACATTTTAATTTTTTGAAGTTTAATGACTATAAAATGATACTTTCAACTTGATAGTTGAAAGTTTTATCTAAGCATTAAAATAATTTTCATCCTTAAAAGTGTTCAATAAAACCTAATGCCATCAGGTTGATTCCATCTCAGCAACTCTATAGGACAGAGTAGAATTGCCTCACAGGTTTTCCAAGGCTATAAATATTTACAGAAACAGATTGCCACACCTTTCTCCTGTGGAGTTGCTGGTGGGTTTGAACCACAGACCTTTTGGACAGCAGCTAGGCACTAAATACTGCTCCACCAGGGCTCCAATGGGAAAGTGAAAAATCACAATTACTATTTGTTTCTGGGAGCTCTGGTAGCCTAGTGCCTAAGGCACTTGACTGCTAACCAGAAGGCTGGCGGTTCAAACCCACCAGCCACTCCTCAGAAGGAAGATGGGGCAATCTACTTCCATAGTGATACTGCCTCGGAAACCCAAGGAGGGGTCAATATGAGTCGGGTCTACTTGACGGCACATAACAACAACATTTCTTCCTGTTGTTGTTGCTGTCTTTCTTTTTCCCTCCACTTCAGCAACACTAACCACACTGACAGTCTTCTGGGACATGTTTACTTTCCAGCTAGTATTATACACAGAAGGATAGTTCATCAAAGTCACTACTACAAAAAAGATGACAGTAATTTGAAGCAAAAATAAATGGAGGTGCCACTGCTTTTCCCCCTCTTTAAAGACTGTCAATTGAAAAATACTTCTCAGATATATTCAGCAAAAAAATGCTGTACAGGCCCCATTTTTCTGTTACTGAGTGTGTCCTGCCATGATACTACAATGTCAAAATTCTGCTGTGATATATAGCTTATCAAGACAAAGTTAATCATGTTGAAATTTATCCAAAAATATACTATCCAGTATCAGTTAACCAAAAAATAATTTGTTTGGCAAATTGCAACCTTAACTTTTTATTCTTTATTTTTTTTGACAGAAAAGTTTTAGCTTTACTAACACATTAAAGACCTAATTTATACTCGAGGTAATTATGGCTATTGCTAAATAAGTATCCTTAGAATCAAAAGAAAATGGAACATGCTATTTTTTTTTAATTGCTTAAAGTTTCAGTTTTACAGACTAGCTCTTCTCCTTAGGTAGTACTGAATATGTACTTTCCAAATTAGAAAAGGCAAAAACCCTTCAAAATTAAAGTCAAATTACCAGATTGTTAGCTTTTTATTTTTAATGAGATGGTGTTGGACAACCTCCTTTTCATCTTATAGTCCACAACACATATGTATATGGTAATGTTTTATATATAAATTTTATATTATATATAATATAAAATAAGGTAATCCCTGAGTCAGTATTTCAAATGAGTCATTGGAGACAAGAACTTTGTCAAAGAAACCTAAAAATTAGCACACTAGGCTTATTGTAAAAATATTTATGAACACCATGAAGAAAATGAAGTTTTTGCTACACACAGAATTTCTGCATTTTCAATTAACCCCTATGATCTCAAGATGTATTCTCTTTTGATGCACAAGAATAATATGCAATCAAATTATTTTCTGCCATTCTTTCTTACATATATACCTTAGAGTTAAGCAGTGCTCCTTTATACAATGAAGTATAAGGTAGAAAATTATATTCCCAAGTAGTTTGATATAATTAGTTTGATAGAACTAGAGGAGGTTTCCTCCTCTCTACTCACACCAGCTAAGAGAGAAAGACTTGACTTTCTTTGACTTAAATTGAAAACTCCCATAATTATTCCCATGTCATAAGAGTCAAATTGTGTTTTTCTCAGAATAGTAAAAAAATTAAAACTTATGTCAAATTTTGCAATATACTGCTACAACAGATTTTTTTTTATTGTTCGTCTATGATAAAATAACAAGAATTGTTATGTAAAAAATATATTTATGGTCTATAATTTTTAATATTTATGAAGTAACAAAGCACAGCCTAGACTAGTCATACTAGTCAATAATAGTTGTTTTTTTTTTTTTTTTTCCAGGAACAGACATAGATTTTATGGTAATATTTGAATATCCATAGTACTTGCAATCATATTATTTACAGTGTTTATCCTAAATCTAAAAGTAGAATCTGAGACATTTTGCCCAAACCTGTTTAATTTACAATAGACATGTAATAAAAACTTCTTACACCTTTTAACATGACATTAAGAATTTGTACTTCATTTCTCTTGAATTCTTCAACATTTCATGAAATCACAACATAGACAAAACTTCATAATTATCTTTCAGATGAAATCAGAAAGAAACCATCATAATAGTTTTCCAATTATTTGTGGGTTTTTTTCTCAGTTTTTTTTTGTTTGTTTGTTTGTTTCATTTTATCTAAGGAAAGAATGATTATGTAGACAATAACGGAATCAAACAAAATATTATTAACTGAATCTTACCTCTATCACTGAAGTCATCTACTAGAATGATTTCTGCTATCAGACTCTCTGGAGTTCGATTAATTATACTGTGTATGGTCCTCAGGAGTGAAGTCCAACCTTCATTATGAAATGGGATAATGATGCTGGTGTTTGGCAGTCTTTCCAGGTACATCTTGTGTTTACAACTGGAGATGAGAGAATAACCAAAAAACAAAACAAATCAAAACAAAAAAAATCTGTGTCAGATGCAAAACATCACTATATTACATACTGCTATTCACTCATTCTGTTATTAGACAACTATGAAAATATTTGTCTAATATATTCCCAACTAGATCTACTCATTCATGGAATTCCTTAATGATCTCTTTTAACAGTCACTCTAAGGAAACAATTATTTTATCTTTTTTTTGTGTGTGTGTCAGAAGCGAAATAAGAAGTGTGTTGAAATGTTGTGCTCTTGGTAATGTACATATTTCCTATTCATATCTAATAGAAATAGGATAAACTGCATGATTTGAAATTGTTTCTTTTGAATGCATAATTATGGTTTAGATGGATTTGTGGGACATCTTTGGAAATTTAATCAGTTTCAGTTGTGAAATATTTCAGTGATTGGTTAGTATTTAAGTTTCTGGGGAGTGCAATAACAACAACCCATTGCCAACCAGTCAATTCCGACTCAAAGAGAACCGTTAGGACAGAGCAGAACTGCCTCATAGAGTCTCCAAGACTGTAAATCTTCATGGAGGTAGACCTCTCATCTTCATCCCATGGATTGGGTGATGATTGTGAAATGCTGACCTTTTAGTTAACAGCCAAATGCTTTAACCACTAGGCCACTAGAGTGTCTCTCTTCAGGTGGAGGGGAGGGGAGGGAAAGTCTTACACAAGAAAGAAACAAGGATTTCATCCTAAATAATCCTTTGCTGAACACAAACACAGAGGAAGACTACACTGAGATTCAAATTAAACTTTAACACTTTCTTTATCAAAATTATCAAAAGAAATCTTATGTTGCTATTTTTCATTGTGAATAATTTGTGAAGTCAAAAGGAACTAAGCATAATTTTGGTATACTTAAAAAACAATTTACTACTTAAATTGCTATTTTGCATACATATGATTTCTTCAATTAGTTTATAAGCAACATGAGGCCCCGAAACCTGGTCACATATCTCATTGAATTCCTAGCTCTGCTTCTGCATGTCATAGCTGCCCAAGGCCTAATGAGGGCAATGAATGCAGTTAAGGTTGTGAAAGATTTAAGCTATTTCAAAACTAAAATTGAGTAAAATTCCAATCAATTTAGTGATTTTCATTAACTGGAAAACAAAAAAAAAAGAAGTAGGGAAAGTAGAGAGCGCTAAGTCTGGAGCATCTAGTACTTCATCTCTTGCCAGGACACTGACCACATTTAAGTTTGAATGAGAAAGTAAATCTAAGTGTGATTTTGAGAGGTTTCCATCCCTGACAGCAGTCAGCTTCCCGAAAGAGAGAATGAAGGCAGCACTCAAGGAGAACCAACTATGAGCAGATATTGATGAAAGAGATTTATTACAAGTGTGGGTTGAGGCAGAAGGTACAGTAAGGAGAATTTTAGACCATAAAGCCACAAAAATGATGGTCTTCACTCTCCCTTCCTAAACTTTGTGGAATTTGTAGAAAATACAGAGATAATTTTATATGACTACATTCTATAGAGGAGCTCTGGTGTCATAGTGCCTAAGGCACTTGACTGCTAACCAGAAGGCTGGCAGTTCAAACACACCAGCCATTCCTTCTATAGTGATACTGCTTCTGAATCCCAAGGAAGGGTCACCATGAGTTGGGGCCGACTTGACGGCACATAACAACAACACACTCCATAGAATCATTTAGAGATTAAGTGGTTGGAGTGTGTTGGCAGTAATTTCTGGACTTTGAGGTTCCCAGATCAATGATTTTGGGAAAGAAAGAGTCCTGTAATTTTTGCCATGAAGCTCTCTGCTTGTATTCTTCCCTATCAAGACCCCACTGCCATTTCCAGTCAGGCAAAGTTGACCTCACTACCTACCCAAATATATGACTGATGCAATATTTATTTTCTTAAATACTCAAATATTTGTATCTTTTTGTGTTGGTTTATTTGGTAAAAGAGAAAGAATAAAATGAAACAAACTTAAATGAATGTGCCATTTTGGATTATACATAGTCTACCAAGATGTTAGAAATTTTACCAGAATATTTGAAATGCTATTTAATACATACTTTTCCAATCAGTTATTGCAACACTTAGTGTTACTATGATTTCAATAGGATAAGTAAAAATCTTACCCTGCTAGATATTGCTGTCATTCTAAAAGATGACATGTTACCTTACAGTTTGTTGTTGTTTTTATTGTTAGGTGCCATCGAGTCATTTCCGACTCATAGCCACCCCATGCAGAGCAGAACGAAACACCGCCCAATCCCACGCCAGCTCCATAATCCTTGCTATACTTGAACGCATTGTCACAGCCACCATGTCAATCCATCTCATTGAAGGCCTTCCCCTCTTTCGTCGACCCTCCACCTTACCAAGCATGACATCCTTCTCCAAGGAATGGTCCCCTCTGACAACATGACCAAAGTAGGTGAGACGAAGTCTGGCCATCCTCACTTCCAAGGAGCATCTCAGCTGCACTTCCTTCAGGACAGATCTGTTAGTTCTTTTGGCAGTCCATGTTACCTTCAGCATTCTTCACCAGCACCACAACTCAAAAGCATCAACTTTTCTTTGGTCTTCCTTATTGATTGTTCAGCTCTCACATGCATACAAAGTGATAGGAAATATCATGGCTTGTGTCAGACTCACCTTAGTCCTCAAGGAGACATCCTTGCTCCTCAGCACTTGAAAAAGTTCCCTCACAGCCGACCTGCCCAGTGCTACACATTATCTAATGTCCTAACTGCTGCTTCCATTGGCATAGATTGTAGAACCAAGCAACATGAATTCTTTGACAACCTCAATCTTCTCTCCACTTATTGTGATGCTGTTTATTGGTCCGGTTGTGAGGATTTTTGTCTTCTTTATATTGAGATGTAATCCATACTGCAGACTGTGTTCCTCAATCTTCATCAGTAAGTGCCTCAAGTCATCCTCACTTTCAGCAAGCAAAGTTGTATCATCAGCATATCTCAGGTTGT